GAGCTGAGAAAGCACCCAGCAGGGGGGTGACAGCATCAGAGCTGTATGTAGAGCTTTTTTTTTTTTTTTTTTTTTTTTTTTTTTTTTTTGAGATGGAGTCTTGCTCTGTTGCCCAGGCTGGAGTGCAGTGGCACCATCTTGGCTCACTACAACCTCCACCTCCCAGGTTCAAGCAATTCTCCTGCCTCAGCCTCCTGAGTAGCTGGGACTACCAGCGCACGCCACCACATCCAGCTAATTTTTGTATTTTTAGTAGAGATGGGTTATCACCACATTGGCCAGGATGGTCTCGATCTCTTGACCTCGTGATCTGCCCGCCTTGGCCTCCCCAAAGTGCTGGGAATACAGGGGTGAGCCACCACGCCTCGCTGCCTTTAGAGTTTTCTACAGTAACCACAAGGAGGAAAACGCAGCAAGAAAGTCTGGACGCAGAGACCAGTCTGGGAGCTTCTTGTGGTCATCCCAATAAGAAATGATGAGCGCTTAACCTAGGCAGTGTCCAAGAGGATGAAGAGGAAGGAGTGGAGGCCGGGCACAGTGGCTCACACCTCTAATCCCAGCTACTCGGGAGGCTGAGACAAGAGTATCATCGCTTGAACCTGGGTGGCAGAGGTTGAAGTGAGCCAAAATCATGCCACTGCACTCCAACTTCAGAGTGAGACTCAGTCTAAAAAAAAAAAGAGGAGTAGAGCTTTCGAGAAAGATACTGAAGGTGGAGGAGTAAATGATTGGAGAGAGAGGACGGAAGCACCTAGGATGCTCTGTTTCTGGCTTGACCGGATGGGTAGAAGATGGTGACATATGCTAGATTAAACTGGGGGATGCACTGGGTCTAAAGTCTGCGAGGGAAGATGATGGATGCAGCAACTGTGGCATCTATGGTGCATGCGTATGAAGCTGAGGAGAGAGGAATATAAGAGGGAAGTCTACACTGGGCTGTGAGAATCACCAGGTGGGAGGCAGGAGTTAAAGCTAGAGAAAAAAGAGGGATGCAAAGAATAATGTAGGCTGGGACTCCTAGAAGTTCAATGTTTTAAGGGATGGGAGGAGGACAAACCGTGGAGATGGAGAAACTGCTGGAAACACAGGAAGAAAGCCCAGTGAGCACAGTCACAACTATGCAGCCTCTTCTCCTCCCACTACCCCACGCACCTCCCAAGATGAGGGCAGCCGGGTTCTCACCTGGAAGCCCGACCCTGATAGGAGAAACCTTTTCTCTTGAAATAATCAACTACATCATCGGAGCAGGTCTTGAGAGTGTTGACACGGACAAATCGAGGCAGCTGGGAGGCTAGGATGCAATGAGCAGTGAGTAGGCAGGAGAAAATTTCCTGCCTCCCCCACCCCCCCAACTCATTCTACTCACCTGGACCAGGCCTGGATCCCACTTCCAGCAGGTCCTCATTCCGGCTCACACCCCGATGAACCTTGAGCCGAGCCAACTCAGCCTTGAGCCTTGCTTGGTGCCGGCCCAACAGAGCCTTCCATCGGCCCCCACCCCCTCGAAAGCCCTTCCCCAACAACAGCTCATACACTAGCACCTGGGGATGAGGAAACAGACAAAAACAAAAGCATTAAGCATTAATGCCTTAGGACTAACTCTAATAGAGTCCTTGATGTGGAATGGCTAAACAGATCACCTGTCCAGATGGTTACAGATAAATGTGGGGTAGTACCTTATTCAAGATCACACCAGAAATTAACGACAGAACAGGATCGGAACCTGTCGTCTTGCTTCCCAGTCCTGGACCCTTTCCCCACTGATGTTCACCAGTAGACCTCTGCACCCACTCCTTCTTGCCAACATTACCCTTTCGTTGGTTTGGGTTTTTTTTTTTTTTTTTTTTTTTTTTTTAAGAATTGGGGTCTAGCTCTGTCGCCCAGGCAGAAGTCCGGTGGCCAGATCATAGCTCACTGCAGCTTCGAATTTCTGGGCTCAAGTGATCCTCCCTTCTCAGCCGCCCGAGTAGCTGGGACCACAGGCGCGCCACACCACACCCGACTTCCTTAGCGTCTCCGCCACTACTACTTTATAATTCGGTTATTTAATCCTTCACAACATTCAAAGTTACAGCATTTTCATCCCACCTCAACTCGTAACCCAGCAAAGGTCTGCCCATGCTCATTTCAGATAAGCGACTTGCTCCAGTCCCGCCGAGCAAGGCAGCAGAGCTGCGACCAAATGACAAGGCGCTGACCGTCGCGACTCTCTTCCCCGCCCGCCCTTCGCCTTTCCTCACCTTGGCCAGGTGCGGCCGCAGCTTCTTCTCCGCGCGGAGGAGGCCGGCGCTGGCAATCACCGCGTCCAGCACCGCGGAGTAGCGCTGCGTCTCGCACACCAGTGCGTAAAGCTGCTTCACGTTCTGTGTGGCGGAGGGAGACAAGCTGGGTCGGCGACTCCACCGGGCCCCACCTCCCGACCCCATCCCGGCCCGTCCCACCCTATCCCAGGTTCCCCACCCCCACCCCTATTTCTCGCGCCCAGGCCCGCTACCTGGAAGTTGCTGGAGTACACCAGCCCCTTGATGGAGCCCTGGCGGCTCTCCACGCCTGCCAGGACGCCTGCCGCAGCAGCGTACACCGCCATAGTTCCGCTCACCTTTACGGCTCTGTCGCAAAGCGCACGCGGCTCTGCGCCCGCCCGGATTTCCGGGGTCAAAAAGCACGACTTTCCGGGACCGGAAGTGGCGGTCTCCCAGCCCAAAGGCGTGCGTGTGGTCGCGCGCCTGCCAGGTTGGGTAGTGCTGTGCTGCGAGTCCGTTTTGCCACTTCTCTGGTTCTTCGGTCTTTGCCAATCTGATGGGCAAATAATGGGATTTTACTGCTGTTTAACTACAGTTATTGAGGTTGAATATCTTCACGTGTATTGGTCATTATATATACATAACTTGCTTTTTTTTTTTTTTAAGACAGAGTCGCTCAGTAGCGCAATCTCAGCTCACTGCAACCTCTGCCTCCCGGGTTCAAGCTATTCTCCTGCCTCAGCTGCCCAAGTAACTGGGATTACAGGTGCCCGCCACCATGCCCAGCTAATTTTTGTGTTTTTAGTAGAGATGGCGTTTCACCACGTTGGCCAGTTGGTCTCGAACTCCTGACCTCAGGTGATCATCCGCCTCAACCTCCCAAAGTGCTAGGATTACAGGCGTGAGCCCCTGCCCCTGGCCATAATTATGTGTCCCTGTTTATTGTCTTATGTTCCTTTGCCATGTCTTCCGATGGCTTTCTTCTCAGGGAGGCTTTTTCTGGGTAATGGCAGAGAAGGTCCCAGCAGCTCCAGGTTCACAATCTGGTTCACGATACCTGCCACTCACCCCCCACCAGTAACCTTATCAGTCCCCAGAGCCAAGCAAGAAAGGGCATGGGGTATTTGGGTACCTGAAATGGGCCAGTTTGGCCACAGTATGTAGGTATGACCCAGGCCTCAAAGCCACAATAACGAGTTTTGTTTTGTTTTTAATGAGGTCTCAGTCACCCAGGCTGCAGTGCAGTGGCACCATTAAAGCTCACTGCCGCCTCAAACTATTGGGCTCAAGTGATCCTCCCACTTCACCCTTCAAGTAGCTGGGACTACAGGCATGCACCACCATACCCAGCTAATTTTATCTTTTGTAGAGATGGGGTTTCGCCATGCATAGTCTCAAACTCCCGGCCTCAAGCAATCCTCCCACCTCAGCCTCCCAAAGCAGTGATTACAGGCATGAGCCACTGTGCTCTGCAAGGATTTTGTTCTTTATCTTGAGAGAAATGGTAGTCCTCTTAAGGGTTTTAAGTCTCGGAGTGCTGCGCTCACATATACTTCTTTAAAAGATCAGTCTGGTGAGGTGCGTGGCTCACATCTGTAATCCCAGCACTTTGGGAGGCCGAGGCAAGCACATCACTTGAGGTCAAGAGATCGAGACCAGCCTGGCCAACATGGCAAAAACCCATCTCTACTAAAAATACAAAGATTAGCCAGGCATGATGGCAGATGCCTATAATTCCAGCTACTCAGGAGGCTGAGGTAGGAGAATCACTTGAACCCAGGAGGCAGAGGTTGCAGTGAGCTGAGATCATGCCACTGCACTGCAGACTGGGGGATAGAGCGAGACTCTCCCAAAAGTAAATAAAGATCAGTGTGGCTACAGTGTAGGGATATAGGATGGACAGGGACAGAGTTGAGGCAGGGAGATACCAATGGTGATCATGGCAGTGACCTAGGCAAGAACTGGTGGCCTGGACCGAGTTGGTGGAGTCAGGTTGAAGTTGGCAGTGCGACTGCTAAGTCCACAGAACTTGCTCAGGAAGGAGGACAGGTCAAGAATAACTCATAGGTTTTTCGGTTTTCAGTTTGGGCAGTTGACAAAGTGCTGGTGTGTGTTTTGGTAGGATGGGGAAACCTAGGGTGGCGGAGTGAACAATGGCCACCCAGAGACAGCAGGCCCTAATTCCTAGAGCCTGGAAGTGTCACCTTCTAACGAAGAGATCTGCAGGCGTGGTGAGGTGAAGGGTTTGGAGAGAGGAGGTTATCCTCGATTATGTGGGCAGGCCCACGTATCATCACAAGTATCCCTATAAGAGAGAGGCAGAGGAAGACCAGGTGCAGTGGCTCACACCTGTAATCCCAGCACTTTGGAGGCCATGGTGGGAGGATTGCTTGAGGCCCAGACCAGCCTGGGTAACAGAGCAAGATCCTCTCTCTACTAAAAATTTTGTTTGGTTTGTTTTTGGGACACAGTTTCACTCTTGTTGCCCAGGCTGGAGTGCAGTGGCACAATCTCAGCTCACCACAACCTCCGCCTCCTGGGTTCAAGCAATTCTTCTGCCTCAGCCTCCCAAGTAGCTGGGATTACAGGCATGTACCACCACACCAGGCTAATTTTGTATTTTTAGTAGAGATGGGGTTTCTCCATGTTGGTCAGGCTGGTCTCAAACTCCTGACTTCAGGTGATCCACCTGCCTTGGCCTCCCAAAGTGCTGGGATTACAGGCGTGAGCCACCGCACCCGGCCTCTACTAAAAATTTAATTACCTGGGCATGGTGGCAGACATTTGTCCCAGTTACTCAGGAGGCTGAGGCAGGAGGATCGCTTGAGCTCAGGAGGTCAAGGCTGCAGTGAGCTATGATTGCACCACTGCACTCCAGCCTGGGTGACACAGCGAGATCCTGTCTCTAAAAATAAACACTCAAGGCCGTGCACGGTGGCTCACGCCTGTAATCCCAGCACTTTGAGAGGCCGAGGTGGGCGGATCACCTGAGGTCAGGAGTTCGAGACCAGCCCGGCTAACACAGCAAAACCCCATCTCTACTAAAAATACAAAAATTAGCTGAGCGTGAGATACGCATCTATAATCCCAGCTACTCAGGAGGCAGGAGAATCGCTTAAACCTGGGAGGTGGAGGTTGCAGTGAGCTGAGATCAGACCACCGCACTCCAGCCTGGGTGACAGAGTGAGACTCTGTCTTCAAAAAAAAAAAAAAAAAAAAAAAGACTCAAGCATAAAGCAGTATGTATGTATAGCAACTAATATTTGCAAATAATTTAAAGTGAAATAATATCAGATTTATTATCCTTGGTAGTAGTAGAAAGTTCCCAATGACAAGGAAAAGGCACCTGTGGGACTACTGCCCTCAGTTGGCAGCGTCCGCGCAGAGGGCATGGTTAGAAGGGACGGGGGGAGCTGTGTGTGTCCTGTGGCTGCCAAGGCCTGGGGGCAGAAGTTTACAAACACCCCCTGGCTGACAGGAAAGGGATTGGGGTCCTGTTCCCTATCATTAAATGTTCCAGGGACACAGGCTTGAAGACCTTCCTAGACCATGAAGATACCACCTCAGGACCCAGCAGAAACCCACGAGTCCCCGGTGCCCTGCAGGGATGGGCCTGTGGGCTGGCAGGATCCTTACAGCTTGGTGGGCTGCTCCGGGATGGGGTGACCCGGCCCACTTGGAGGGGGCAGCACCATGGGCAGCGAGTTGCTGCCCCTCTCGTGCCAGCAGGTGTCCAGGATAGGATAGAGTTTGCCCTGGAAGTCGGCCTGGAAAGTGTAGAGCGGCCGCAGGTCATCGGGGCGGTCGGCGTCGAAGAAGGTGAGCTCACCCTGCTCGTAGTGCAGGTAGACCCCAATGCGGTGGGGGTGGCCCGACACGGGCAGGGACACCCGCGGGCAGGCGAAGGCTTCATACACCCGGCCCTCCTTCAGGCCGATCAGCCACACGCCGTGCTCAGGGGACCTGTTCAGCTTTCCCTTACGGCTGGCTGTGCCCTTGATGACCCCCAGGCGCCAGTCACTCTTGCTGCCCACCACCACCTCCCAGTAGTGGCGGCCGCAGGAGAAGCCGCGGCTGGCCAGGACGCAGGTGCTGTAGTCAAAGCGCTCCGGCTGGCTGGCACGCCGCTGGGCCAGGAGCCCGCACTGCACCACCGTGTTGCCCTTGGAGAGTTCCAAGAGTGGGTGGGCAGTGGCAGGGTCCAGCTTGAGAGGCTCTGGGGCTGGGGAAAAGATCACAGAGGGCCTGTGAGGCCATGCAGAGGGCCATAGACCCCCCCACCCCCACAGAGGCTGATGCAGGTCCTGAGCTCCCCAAGGAGAAGGGCTGTGTCAGCCTCATCTCTCTAGCCCCAGGGCCTAGAAGGGGCCAGTACAGGGCTGCAGAATGAATGAATGCACGAGGGGATGGAGCTGTACATAAAGAAGATCAGTGGTGATTGCATCCATCAAAGGCAAAGCCAGGGTTTCTATAAAAGGGAGCCACCTTGGTGGGCTGTAGGGGCTGAGGTGGCAGGGAACGCTGGGCTCAGGGGCTCTGGCCCACCTGCCTGAGGCAGAGGTGCTGTGGAAAGGACCCAGAAGACACCTGTTCCATGAGACTACAGCTCAACCCTCAGGGTTTTCTGGAGAACCCATAACAACTGCCGCTGCTGGATTTCCTAGCCTAGTCAGCCTATTCAGGGACAAACTGGCGCACCTGAGCTTTTTGCTAGCGACCAGCTGATCCGTTCACCCAGAAATGTGAATACCCCCTCCAGGGAACCCTGGTGTTCCCAGGCCTGTGGCCATGTCATTCCAGCCTCTGCTTCCGTCTTCACATGGCCTTCTTTTCTGTACATGTCCTTCTAATCTTCCTCTGCTTTGCTCTTTTTTTTTTCTTTGAGACAGTCTTGCTCTGTCAGCCAGAGCAGGAGGCAAAGAAAGTGGTGAATCCCCTGTTTGAGAAAAGGTGTAAGACTTTTGGCACCGGACAGGACCTCCAGCCAAAAGGGGCCTCATCCGCTTTGTGCAGTGGTCCCGCTCTGTCAGGAGACAGGCATCCTCTGTAAGCGGCTGAAAGTGCCTCCTGCCATCAACCAGTTCACCCAGGCCCTGGGCCGCGCAGCCGCTGCTCAGCTGCTTCAGCTGGCCCACAAGTAGAGACTGGAGGCCAAGCAAGACAAGCAGCGGAAGCTGTTGGCCCTGGCTGAGAAGAAAACTGCCGGCAAGAGGGACGTCCCCACTGAGAGGCCACCTGTCCTTGGAGCAGGAATTAGCAGCGGTACCACCTTGGTGGAGAACAAGAAGGCTCAGCTGGGCCAGGCAGAGTGGCTCACACCTGTAATCCCAACACTTTGGGAGGCTGAGGGGGGCAGATCACAAGGCCAGGAGTTTGCAAGCAGCCTGGCCGACATAATGAAACCCCGTCTCTACTA